GCACAGCCAGCCAGTGTAAAATGCCAAAAGGAGCACAGCCAGCCAGTGTAAAATGCCAAAAGGAGCAGTCAGCCAGTGTAAAACGAGAAGTTACATTTTAGAATTTAAAGAAGGTTTATCAACTGGCAATAACATTATTATACCATAGTCATTTTTTTATCATATTAAGCCCATATTTAACTCCATATTTTGATAAAAATAACTAAAGATATATTTATCTAATGCATACATTTTTAGTCTGTAGAAATCCGTTCCCTGATTATAATTATTATACAACTATTTATTTATTTCATAGATAGAAAGAATATTACAAGTTTAATAAATACATATCAATTATGGTGGGTGACACAGACAGTAATTGATCACTAGAACCACTTTATAATAATTATGATAGACAAAACATCTCAAGGTATGCACAAAATGCGATTGACGCATAATAGAAAAATCCACCCTCAATTCATTTTAATATGTACTCATTAGCATTAGAAAATAAATTATTTTTTGTTAACGGAATATTAAGTGGACCAATGATATTTCAAAAATGCCAATTTGAAATCCTCCAGGTTACTCTTGCAAGATGTTTTGGGTTGTTGACAATTTCATTTATATTCTTATACAATCATTATAAATTTTCGGATGGATTCCACTGATGGAATTAAGGGCAATATAAAAATAAATGTGGCTAATTCTTGGAGATGGGAAATTGAGTTCAAAGATTACTTCACGTTCATCACGTTTAAGTTTTTCGTCAAATAGATCAACTAAATCCTTAAAAACACAAACACATTCCAAGGAAGCATGGTTTATAGTATAATAAAAAATTATGGGGCTCCCTGTTTGTGAGAATTGAATAACTTTACATTTGGTGGTACTAAAAAGTCTATTAGTATCACACCAAGAATACAGCAAATTCAATTTCAGTTGCAAGTTTTCAGAATCAGAAGTTTAATCTATTTTGGTAAAAATTTTGAGGTCACCTGCAAACAGCAGAAAAGGCAAGGTGAAAGGTATAATAAAAATCCACGAATGTGAACCCTGTGGTACACTT